AGCACGAACAAAGGGGACATACGACAAACCTCCAGGACCCTCCCAAAACCCTTACAACACGAAGGGACGAAGGGAGGGGACACACGACAAACCTTTAGCCCCCTACCAAATCACAGGAACACGAAGCGGGGGGACATACGACAAACCTCTAGGGCAGGACGAGCACGGAAACACATCATATATGTTAATCATTTTGATGCTCCCCCAAAACCTATAAGAACGAGAAAGGGGAAGCACACAAACCTCCAAAGCCCTTACAAAACCCTTACAAAACGAAGGGACGAAGGGAGGGGACATACGACAAACCTCTGGCCCCTACCAAGTCACAGGAAACGCGAAGCGAAATTGCTCGCCTAAGTCTGGCTGTTGGCCGGCTGGATCTACATTTACTACTACTACTACTACTACTACTACTACTACTACTACTACCACTACTACTTTCAAGAAGTTTTGTAAATAGTAAACAAAGGGGCGTGCCAAATAGACCCTAAAGGTCCATGCCACATATGTATATATGTATAGTATATATTTGGGCCCCAAGGCTACTATATAGGAACCCCTTTAAGGCCCCAGTGTCTACTTTCTAAGTGCACGGACCGTCATGGACCCATTGGGTTCTTCAGACTGCTTAGAGTTCACCTACGACATCCCTACGGAGGCAACATACCTGCAACAGAGGCTGGCGAGCAAGGCAGCGTTGCAGGACAATAAGCTCCATTTATCGCCCACCTTGGGCCCAAACCATAATTAAGGCTATTTAGGGAGAATTAAGCCTAATAAGATTATTTAAGGGGGGAATCTAGGGGGGGATCGTATAGAGGGGGGTAGTAGGGGAACCCATGCAACAGAGATGTTTTTGGCCTTGCAGGGTTTAGGATTTGTGGCTAGGGTTCAGGACCTTGCTTCTTTTGGCGGCTATCTGAATTTAGTATACGACTAACCGTATACTACGAATCTCATACTACTGACCTTTTAAATGTTGAGGGGAACAGTGGGATCTCCAGCACGCTGTACTCTTGAGGCCTCATGCAAATTCACTCTTAGTTACATATGATATTACAGTGAAATACTATAATACTGTAAGGCTATGATACTATAATACTAGAATACCATAAGACTATAACGCTATAATACTATACTACTAGAATACTGTAAAGCTGTATTGTAATTCTATGACACTATAGTACGATGATACTTTAATACTATACTAGCAGAATGCTATAAAACTATAGCACTATAGCTCTACAATACTCTAATACGCTAATACTATAATACTATATTACTATAATACTAGAATACTATAATACTATAATACTATAATACTATAATACTATAATACTATAATACTACAATACTATAATACTATAATACTACAATACTATAATACTATAATACTATAATACTATAATGCTATAATGCTACAATACTGTTATGCCATAATACGATAATACTATGATACTATAATACTGTAACACTGTAATACTATAGCAGTATAATACTAGCATACGATAATACTATAATACTATCATACTATAATACTACAATACTGTAATACTAGAATACTATAATATTATAATACTATAATACTATAATACTATAATACTATATTACTATAATACTATAAAAAGAATAGCACAAGATCATGGCAACTATCCGCCCGATGTGAGCCCCAAAACACGTCATTTAAAGGCCTTCATAATTAGACTGGGGTTTGGATGGGGTCCTTCTAGTACAATTGCAAAGAGCCGTACGGGAATACTATTAGGTACTTCTGCCGAAACCCCATAGTCGGCGTCAGTTAGGGATCCCAGGGCCGCTATTTTCAGATTCTATAATACTATAATACGATAATACTATGATACTATCATACTATAATACTACAATACTATAATACTATAATGCTATAATACTATAAGAAGATGGTGTCCATCCCAATTGCCCTGCCATAGCGGGAAACTGTGGCCAGGCACCCCGAAATGGAGTTTATAGTCTGTCCTAGGCAAGTATCGGAATTCCAGGTACAGTAAACCCTAAACCCTAAACGCTAAACGCTAGACGCTAAACCCTAAACCCTAAACCCTAAACCCTAAACTCTAAACCCTAAACCCCAAACCCTAATTCTAGGTGCCGAGCAAATGTCGACTTGCCCAGAAGATCTGTAAGGGTGAGGGTGACATTCAACAACAAAATGAAGGACGTTACCACCTGGGCACCTAAAAAGAAAAGAACGACGCATTCTGATGCTGTGTGAATAAGCATGTATTGCAGTATGACCAAAAGGGCTCCCCATCTATAAGACTTACCTATATTTATACGAAGTACACTCAGGCAGGACATACAAGCCCTGCTTCATGTGTAGGTACCATCCGATGAACCCAGGCGTCTATACACCATATCCAACATGTAAACCTACACGCTGCAACCCCTAGAGCTAGCTCATCCTGCGCATCTTGCAGCCGTGCCTCCAGCAGAACTGCTCCTGCCCAAAGCCGGAGTGAGCTATCGGATAGGATTGGGACTGGGGTCCGGGCATGGTTTGGTGTTCATTGCAGGATGACCTTGGTGCCTCACCAGCGAGTCATCAGGATGACTCTTTATTGCAGCCTTCTTGTCACACCCTTTTACACCTGGAAATCGAAGCTCTCTGAATTCTGGTTCCTTGCAGGGAGCTTCCCCCAGATATAAGGATCCGGAATACAGTGGTTACCCAAGACATGACCTTACTGTAGAACACCAACCATACAACGACTGAGCATTTTGCAGAACACCGGCATCCCGTCCAAGTCTTGAGTAGCCCGCAGCCAGCCACATTCCGCCCTAACTTCGCAGCCCAAGAAGTTCTTAACCCGCAACATCGACCTGAAAATCCCGAATCTCATGTCGACGTAAACCCTAAACACATCGAGCCCTGAACCTAAACCCCGAAACTGGGCCTGCAAACTCAACTGCAAGCGCCTGCGCCCTTCGCCGGGAGGTTGACCACCTCCCCGGGCAGCGCCTGCGCCTGGCGTTTGAGGAAGCAGGTGGGTTTGGGGCCAAGGGGGTTTTGGAGGTCAAGGGTCAAGGGTTCAGAGTTTTCTTTATGACACACAAGAAGCCAGCCCCTTGTACGTCCACAGCGAGGGCCATGAAACTTGAGGCCGACCACTACAACTCCTCTGCCCAAAGAGCCCAAGACCGAAGCAAATACCAAACAATCATCATTCGAGTACCGATTTTCTCGAAGCTGTGTTGCTTGGCTGAGGGAGCCCCCCCCCCCCCCCCCCCGCCACAAAAGAAAACAACAATAATAATAATGTTGGACCTGCTTGATTAGGGGGGGGTCGCTTTAAAGTCAATTTGGCGGAATTATTCAGGACCCCCTCACTGTTTGAGGGGTCCGCTTTAAAGTCAAACCGTCCGGGCGCCGTAAGAAAATTCCACGTGGCGCGCCTTTAAAAAGATAACCGGGCATTGCTGTCCCTTTTAAACATATCTAAACTCCACCCTATTAAAATAATATAAGCCCCCGGGGCCGTGTAATCAGGACCCAATCCACGCCCCGACTGTTCGGGGGAGGGGGGGGGGGGGGGCCCCCACATTAAGCAGGTCCCACATTAATAACAATAACAAAGTTAAAAGCCTCGACGCGTGCGGGTGGACTGTCATGTCAGCCGCCCCACACACACACAGAAGCTGAAAACGCCGGCACATGTCTCTTCGAGAAACCAGCACCACTTTGCTTCTCACGGATTCTGCCGTTGTGGTTGTTATCAGCGTTGTTATCGCCATTAAAGGTAGCAAAAAGAACCTGATTCACAAGACGCGGTGAACTTGAAGACTGTGCTTCTTCACTCCAAGATATGGGGAGTTACGATGTTAGGGCTACCTTAGTAGGGTCCTTATAATAAGGATCCTACTTTTTGGGCTTCCATATTTGGGGGTCCCGTATTATCGTAAACCTCCATATGGGTTGTTGTCAAAATGCTTGTTCCCGAAACTGACGTTAATGCGGCTGTACTTGCGTGCCGCCTCATGTGGCAAAAGAAAACCAGGCCTACAGATACATACAAGCAAACGCAGGAGTTTGGGGATGCGTGCGTGGATTCCTAAGAAGGGTACTAGCGCGCAGACTTTTCAGCAGCTGGCGTCCGAAGAACTGTCGCTGCTGCTGCTACTGCTGCTGCTACTGCTGCTGCCACTGGACTCTTGGCGGGAATGCAGGTTGTCCCGCTGCCGCTGCTTGCGGGCTCGAGCCCCTACAAGCTTCTTGTGATAGCTCGCCAGACGCTTCTCGAACCGACTCATGCCCTGACTCGCATCATCCGGTATCTTGTTGACCAAAAAGTCATAGCGAGACATAATGGTGTCCTGCTTTCCAATCTGCGGGATCTCTCGCATCCAGCGTGGATTCGTGTAGCGGCCTCTGCGCCACGACCGGTCTGTAATCGCAACACTCTCAGAGGTGATTGAGAACGACTCCTTCGCGCGGGAGCCTTCCAGACTAAAGAAATGGTTTTCCCAGAGCAAGCAAGGTCTCCCCTCGCCTGCTAGCCGCACACGCACACCTTGCTTGTGTTTCATGGGTCCAGAAGAAGCGCAGACCGCTTGCAAATCGCCCCAAATTCATAGACAAAGGGATGGAGCCCTAAACTGCAAATATTTGCTTCTAGCGAGGAGACCCCGAAACCTGGAAACCCATAGCTACCGTGCTCTCAAGCCGAATGTCGAAACCTCGCGCATCCCGCCACCTCTCCAACACATCTGCGGTGCACATAATGCGATTGAGGAGCAATATGTCTTCCTGATCTTCAACTCTGCACTTGCGCTACTCCAGCAGTTGGGGGGCTTCTTGTCGGATTTCCAGTGTTTGACAATGTATTCCGGATGGCTGTCGCGCCTCATGTCTGCAGCAGCTTCACGTTGCCTGAGCGAGGACTCGGGGATTGACATTGGGCTTCAGGCTTGTATTTTATAGATCTTTATGCTTCACAATGCCGACACATATAAGCAAGCACGTCCTAACAACTCCCGCGAGGGTCTCTCCAAACCCGCCCTATGAGAACGTTTGAGGTTTTGGGTCTTCGGTTGTATAGGTGGCGGCTGTCGAGCTGCAGGTGCGTAACCAGGGCTTCCACAGTCTTGATGTTGCAGTTCGGCTCCCTCTTTGCCCTTTCGACCCAAGAATTCACCACAGCGAACAAGGCATCTACATCGCCCTTGCCGTGTTTCTCGGCATGGTAGTTCACCGACAAGTTGATGCGATTGCTCCTGCGAGGCATCACCCACGACTGCGCTAGGTGACCCAGGAAGTCGATGCACCTGTAGTGCGGACCGCAGTCCGCCCAAACGGCGATGTTGGATATCCCCTTGAAGTTGGCCAACTCGTCTGTTCGTGCCAAATCCAACTGTATCGACGCAGCTAAGCAAGTGTGGTCTATGATGTCTGACACATAGACGAAGCACCTCTTTCTTGGCTCCTTTCCCTTCTCTGCAGCAGTATAGACAATCATTCCCAAGACAGAACACTCTGCTCTCGCCTGAGCCCAGAACGAATCCCCGGTCTCCGTATGCTGGATTGGCAACGAAATGTTTTGTTTCCAATCCAACCAGATAACGCACGAGCCTTTCTGGCCGAAACCATCTCTGTTCTTGAGCTCGCTCGGGTCTGGACCTTTCCGGCCCTTCATGGGTGTCTGTTTGTCATCTTTGCACAGCTTCTTGACTGGCGTCAGGTTTTCAAGATCGCGGTGTTCAGAGAGTCGCTTCTTTGGGGTGAGGACAACATTTCCTTCCTGATCTGTCGCCTGCAGGGGCAACCGCATGAGCAGCAGTGGCACGCACACACACACACACAAAAGCATCAAGCCTACAAGAACCCTAAACCCTAAACCCTAAACCCTAAACCCTAAACCCTAAACCCTAAACCCTAAACCCTAAACCCTAAACCCTAAACCCTAAACCTTTAAACCCTAAACCCTAAACCCTCACTCCTGAACCCCTGTTCGGGGTTTCTAGACTTTCCTGCTGAAAAGGCCTTGGTGCTCAGAACACACAAAACAAGAAACATGCGATTACGCTGTTGTAATTGCCTTCTGGGTCTGCTTGCTCGCCGTGCCCACGACAGATTCTGCAGCCTTCAGGGCGGTGTCAGCTTCTCCCGACTTGGTGTCGTCTGCCTGCCAGCTGTGACGTAGGTTCTATTTCCGGGAACCTCTTGTACGTACAACACCTGACCTTATCTGCCCCATAACCGTCTCAAACCTGTACAACAGACATTTCGGCTACAAGCTTTACTACCCCCGATGGCTTAAAAAAGCATCAAGCCTACAAGAACCCTAAGCCCTAAACCCTAAACCCTAAACCCTTAACCCTTGACCCTTAAACCCTAAACCCTAAAAGGCCTTGTCGCTCAGAACCGTGGGTGGATCTGATGCTGGCGTCGCACACTCAGGTGGTGTGTTCTTAGCGTGGGCCCCAGGCGGCGCTTGCTCCTGGACGAACGGAACAGATTCGATCTCCGGACATTCATGGAAACATGAATGGCAGAATCCTTCAGCTTCTTCATCATCTTGCTCAGGCAGGATGACGATCGCCATTCGTCTTCCCATCTGAGTGCATGTCACGGTGTGTGTACATTACGATGAAAAAGGTTTAGGGTTTAGGGTTTAGGGTTTAGGGTTTAGGGTTTAGGGTTTAGGGTGTAGTGGTGGCGGTGGTGATGGTGGTGGTGGTGGTTGGTGGTGGTGGTGTAGTGGCTGTGGTGCTCGTGCCCCGGTTGCCACCTCCATCCCAGGACGGGGGTGGGGAACCGCATTACGATTTCCCTTTTCGGGCTCGAGCATGGTGGTGGTGGCAGTGGTGGTTGGTGGTGGTGGGGTGGCTGTGGTGCTCGTGCCCCGGTTGCCACCTCCATCCCAGGACGGAAGTGGGGAACCGCATTACGATTTCCCTTTTCGGGCTCGAGCATGGTGGTGGTGGCAGTGGTGGTTGGTGGTGGTGGGGTGGCTGTGGTGCTCGTGCCCCGGTTGCCACCTCCATCCCAGGACGGAAGTGGGGAACCGCATTACGATTTCCCTTTTCGGGCTCGAGCATGGTGGTGGTGGCAGTGGTGGTTGGTGGTGGTGGGGTGGTGGGTGGTGGGGTGGTGGTGGTGCAAGCATTGCGGACACACTCATGCAAAACAGGCGGCAGCACACTCACATGATGGCTTGCTCGAGGCTTACCATCAAGCGTTAGGGACTGCATCGCCTTGGGTGATGGGAGCAAAGGAACATGATACGCAACTTGTTTGCCGTCCGACGAGCACCGCAACATGCACCTGAGCGCAACAAGCACGCAGCTGGCAACCCAAACGCACCAGCGCGCTCCAGACCGGCTGAAGCATTTTGGCGCCATGTCCCAATCCCACATGTAGTGGGCCAAGGTTCGGGTGCGCCCGATGGCGCATTCATGGCTTCCAAAGCTTCAGCTTGAGCATGCGACATCATGCGGTTCGAATCATGCCTAGCGCGAATCTAGCGGTTTTCCTAGCGCCACCTTCGGTAATAAGCGGCTGTACTGCGTGCCGCCTCATGGCGAAGAGGAAAAAGCATACCCCCTCAACGCATTAATGTCACTTTAAGTAACTCCACCCACACGCGAATTTAGAACGCAACCCATATGCAAGTCCTACTTCTTGACCAATTAAGAGGTGTTGCCCAACAGATGGCTAGCGAGACCTGAGTTATTTAGGGGCAGTGTGGACTCTGGGATATAGGGAGCCATCAAACCAACTGACTGCCTGTATGAGCCCCGAGCTTGAAGCAAAAAGCCTTAATAAGGGAACCAGTGCCAAAAAACCTTAAGTCCCTTCCCCCCCCCCCCGCTCCCCGCCCCAACACAATCTTACAAAAGCCAAAGCCCCAGACCCTGATATCCTTCTTTGAGATCTCAAGCCGTGAACAACATCAACACCCTTGAAACATATGCCAAGCTGAAAAAACATCCCCCCACCCCAAAAAAAAGATAGCACCCTTTTACAGAACAACTCAACACAACCAACACCCGAAAACAATCCCAAAAAGCCCAGACGCTAAACCCCAAAGCAACCCAAACCCTAAAGCAAAACAAGACCAAGAAAACATCTCAAGCCCCGAAAACAACCCCAAAAATCCTCAAGCCCTGAACCCCTAAAAACGGCCCCGAACCCGAATTGAGCCCTAAAAAACCCTGAAAGCTTTCACGCCCCAAAACCCCACACGCTCCCCTAAACCCTAAACCCTAAACCCTAAACCCTAAACCCTAAACCCTAAACCCTAAACCCTAAACCCAAAACCCTAAACCCCAACCCCCAAAACCCTTATGTGCGGCCTCGGGTCGGTGCAATGGCACCTTGGGAGAGATTATTTGCTGTTCGCTACACTAGAGTTTAGGGTTTAGAGTTTAGGGTTTAGGGTTTGGGGTTTGGGGTTCGGGGTTTAGGGTCTAGAGTCTAGGGTTTGGGGCTTAGAGTTTAGGGTATAGGGGCTTTTGGGGTTTGGGGTTTAACCGGTTTAGGGTTTTGGGTGTTAGGGGTACGGTTTGATGGAGACGTGTTCATAAGGGATCTGGGATTGCATGAGGTTTTCCTTCTTGAGCCCTTTTTTTCATAAGGCGTGCAAATGCAAAAAAGATACCAGAGGCCTTACCTAAACGCTCTTACGTGGTCAGTACCTTACCCATGACCCCCTATAACTAACCCCAAAACGAACTACATCAGAGCCTTCGGGTACTTGTAACCCTAAACCCTAAACCCTAAACCCTAAACCCTAAGCCCTAAGCCCTAAGCCCTAAACCGCAGAATAGCCTCACCATGTCTCAAAAGTGTTCTTGGTTAGGGTCTAGGGTTTAGGGTTTCAGGTTGTCGCTCGGGGCTTTAACTTCCTCTAGCATTTGAGGGTCTTAGAGTCTTAGAGCTTGGATTGAGGGTTCTCAGATTCTTGGCTAAGGGGCTTGCATTTGTTCCAGCTTGACCGGTCACATCGCGAGACCCAAACTACCGACGGCCTCCCCCCCCCCCCCCCGGTTCTAAGCCCTAAACCAAAACCCTTAAACCTCTCGCGACCCTAACACTAAACCCTAAACCCTCGCGACCCTAAACCCTAAACCCCGAACCCTAGACCCAAACGACCAACCCTAGTTAGACCGGGAGTCGGCACGGTTTACGCAGGGTTTACTACTCAATGCTTAAGACCCCCCCCCCCCCGGAAAAAAAAAGAGAAAAAGTCTTCCCCTGTAAGCCCCCCCCCAAAAAATAATATATATATATACACACACAATACTCTTCTTTACAGGGGCAGCATAGGGATCATCTCTCTTCTATCTTTTGGGAGTTCTTGCAAAATTGTAGCTTTAGTGCTTAAGGGGTGGCGAAAGGTTTCGAGGTTGCGGGTTGAAGGGTGTATAGGGTTTGTGGGTGTAGAAGGTTGAAGGGTCGCTTGTTTTGCTGATGGTTTCGACTTGAGGCTTTACTTGAACATATTCGGATCATTAGTATTCCTACTAGTTATTTTTAACAGTATCTTAGCATTGTATTCTATCAAAGATAGCTGTTTTTAGGGTTCAGGCCTTGCATGCTTCAGTGAAAGCAAACGCTCCCAAGCCCGAGTGCGTCAAAGTGTTTTGTCTTCACAACTAGGTTCTCCAGCTACCTGAGAATGCAGGGGCGCCACCTTTTGGATACTGCTGGACTGCGCAACGAACCTTGAACCCTGAACGTTCAGGACTCGGGCCGAAATGATTGGAATGGGTATTGTATTGTCAGTTGAATTATAACGGGGGGGATACTATTTTCATAATGGGGGTTTGCTTTGGGTAACATTGCGTGCCCAGCCACCCAGCCGCGCAGAGGTTCCGAGCTGCTTGTGAGGGGCACCTGCGAGGACTTGCTGCGCATGCTTTTAGGGTTGAGGGTTTTTTTAGGGTTTAGGGTTAGGTTCAAGGTTTGTCTTGGCTTCTTTGCATGACTCTTAGCTTCTGCTTGGCGCGGGAAGCAACACTGTAGCAATGTGATGGCTTCGAGCTCTCATTGCTCTTCCCAGGTGCGAAAGTTGCAGCCTGCGGAATGCTGCCGGACTAAACCCTAAACCCCTAAAACCGGGCAACGGCCATCTTTCGAGGCATTTCCAAAAGGGACCTTCGGTTTGAGGATTCTCCGTCCTTCTTGACTATGATGTCATGCTTGTGACCTTGACCCTGGGCCCAAGGAACCCTAACATAGAGGTCATATACCCTGTACTACTATGATTCCTATTCAGGCATATGAGCCCTTAAACCTTTTAGGGTTCATTTGGTCCCCATGGCGCCCAAGCACCAGAAGATTGTCCTGCACCCGTCAGTCTGACTGCTTCTTCGTACGGAAGGATGCCCTAACCCCTGAAAAAGGGTATATGTAGGGGGACATCGGGTATCTAATTCCCTCATTCCCTACGGAGAACCAGTAAAAAGCGGCTGAGGTGAGAGAATCGCCGACACCCAGAGCCTGTGAGAGTGGCAAATCCAGGAAGCCGATCGCGTCGTCTCTGGAAGCGGTGTCCTTCGAGTTTCTTAGGGTCGCTACATGGTCCCTTAGTATGGGCCCTTTAAAGCGGACCTCTTATATACCCCCTATGTACCTTGGACAACCCAAGTGCCCATATATCAGAACCCTTTAAGGGAGGTAAGGGACCATATTAAGGGCCCGTGAAACCCTTAGAGAGTTGAGGGTTTCAAGTATCAGGGGTTTAGGGAGTTAGGGATCTAGGGTTTCGGATTTAGGGTTTGAGGTGTAGGGTTCTCAATCCGTGGAAAAGCAGGCTATACTGACTTTTTTGTCTCGCGGGTTGAGGAAGAAAAGCTAACATCTCAAAAAGTAGACGGTGGTAAGGGTGGTGCAATACCTAGGAACGAACCCTAACACTGCTACTGAAGAGGCGTATGAAAACCGAAAACCGCGTAGCCCTCTATCGAGTACCTCAGATTGCAATTCAGATTGTCACTGACACGATGCCCAAAACGCCTGTAGAAACCCAGAACCGAAATACCCCAAATTACTCGACTCCTGCATCAGGTACAGATTTTTTGAGGTCCTCTTGACTCCTCAAGGAGTCAGTGCAACAAAGTGGACATTTGGGTATCTCCCGAAAAAGGGTAACCCTTTTATGCCCCAAATGGAAAAGAATCCCCTTTAAAGGGAACCCCCAAAAAGGGTACCCCGATTGGGCTTTGCGCTTCGCATGTAGGATCGTCCAAGTGTGGTTTAGGTTGCGAAGTGACTGATGCAACGCAGTCAAGACTTCGACTGAAGACATCCGATGCCCTAAACCCTAAACCCTAAACCCTAAACCCTAAACCCTAAACCCACGCCGGTTCTGCCATTTCATCATGAGCTCACCTGTCCCTTGCTGCACCCTGACCCGTATATCCCCCGGACCCCTCAACTTCTACAAGGAGGGGCCCCCTAGTTTTCAGTCGAGTTATAAGGACCCTAAATTACGTTATAAGGATCCTAAATTAGGTTATAAGTCCCTGAACTATACTTAGTACAGTAAGGGGGCCCCTCCTTGTATGACC